TTTAATATAATTGGTAAGTACTAGTTAGAGATATATTCGTAATGTTATCTTTCATGATTCAAGCCCTAAAGTATATTCAATAAAATAATTTTAATATGATAATCTACTCAAGATTTTCTAATAAAAGTTTGATTATAATATATAAAAGTTAACTTAAGAGAATATCTTATCGTTAAAAAAAAAAAAAGTGTATTGTTGCGAGACTCCCCCATATCGTCTAGCCTCTCAAACGCAATTAGTCATAATAAACGAGGGACATGTATGCAAGCTTTTAAATACCATGTGAATTCAAGTTTATTTATATATTTAAAAATTTTAATTTTTTAAATACTTTAGATAGTTTTGATATATTAATATTAAAAACAAATTTTAAAAAATAAAAAAATATTATTATAACATATTTTTAAGTGAAAAATATTTTAAAAAATAATAATAAACCTTTAAAATTAATTTGTTAGTGTAGTTGAGAACATATTTTATCCAGGTTATATTTTAAAAAGATTTAATTAATCAAGAGGTCGTTAATTAAGTTATATAAAATAATGTCACTTGTGAACTCATTAGTCGTCACCACCAACCTCAAGCAAAACCAAACAAAACAGAATTAAAGAAAAAGGAAGTCCCGTCACCGTCATGACACTTTGAGATTTTAGGGGTAGAGTACTTGTCTTCCTATTGCCGTAGATCCTATACAATTCAAATAATTAACGGGAGCTCTTCAGTGTTTCACATCGCACATGCCGTAGATTTTAGTTTCACGGTTACCAGGATATGTCACTTCATGCATTTTCTTCCATCTCCTGAGTTGTACTTACGAGTAATCTCCAACCCAATTGGGTTTAGTGATTGAGTAAGGACTTGTTTCTATGGTGAAAAAGGTGTGTATATTGATACTTGGATATATAAGATTTATATTATTGAAAAGATATTAATATTTATGAATGATTTATTACTGAAATGATTGAATTTTATCAATCAATAATAAAATTAATAATAAAGATAAGATCATAAATAAATGATATATATATATTTATTTATTTACCCTATTATTCATGTGAAAACTCGTACCCTTTTTTTCTAGCATCTTTATTTTAAAGTAATTGTATTTGAATTTTTAAATATTTAAATTTTATATTAATTATTTTTTATTTATATTTAATATTTTTTTAAAAAAATATTTTTCAATTATTACTGACATGGTTTCCGACGGCCTAATCTTATTAGCATATTACAAGAAATTGAAAAGGAATTACTATAAATATCACTGATACTAGTTACTTATTAATAGAATAATAGACGATTTGTTTCACGGCTATATGTCAACTTCGTCAGAGAGAATACTGATAGAAAAAAAAAACTTATGGAATGACATATGATTTTGCTGTTGGTGATATGTTATACTCAATAATTAAAATATCAATAGAATGAAAAGGGTAAAAAAAAATTTTGTGTGCTTTCTCCATTAATAAATTCATCTGTAAAGTTATTATCAATTAACTCGCTAACATACCACAAATCACCAATAATAGTTTTACTGATGGATTATTTTTATTCGTGAGCTTGTTGATAAATTTTGTGTCGACAGACAATGAGTATAAATATCAATATAAAATTTTGTTAATAAATCTAAAAATTATGATTGTGTGTAAACTTATTTATAACAAAAGCTCATGAAAGTACTTGCTTAATCAAATTTTATGGAAGCATGTATTAATCAAATTTCCTGTATGTAAATACTTAAGCAAAAAAATCAATATAAATACTTAAATAAAAAAATAAAAAGGTATAGATATTTCAAAATGTCATTATTGATAAAAGCTAAAATTGATTAGAAAGTTATAATAGATGTAAACTCATTGGTATTGTTCATTAGAATATTGTAATGATGTTTTTACCCTTTATATATATATATATATAAAAAAAAACTAGCCATTGTGGACATTAAAGTATTTTCACAAGGTGCATTAGTTATTTTCAAATTGATTAGGGGCAATTACATCTCTTCCCATTTCAATACATAATAAAAAAGCCGGAAAGCCCTTAAAAGCAAAAAATTCAATACTGGAGAATTTTGATACTTTTAAAATGGATTTTTTTTTCATGATTATCATTTAAGGTGAGGGGAGATTTTGTATTTGGACAAATATTTTTTTTAAAAATTAAAAGTATAGTGAAATGATCAAAATATCATTGGAAGTAAAAAAATTAAACTGGCCTTAAGGGTTTTTTTTCATCTTTTTCGAAAGGTTTTTTTGATATTAGCTTGTCAAACGAGGAAGAATTTGATATTTGACTAAATAAAAAAAGAACAAGAGCTTGTTATACACCCAAGGATGAATGAGAGGCGTCCATACCTCGGCGTCTCTTGACGCCCCAAAAATCCATTTCGACGTGTCGTTGGAAGCACTGTCATATCCTTGTTTTATAGGTGGATTGCATTTCTTTGGTAGTGGTCTAGTTTGTTACTGATAGACTTTTCTTTTTTCTTTTTCTTCTTTTCTCTCATGTCCTGAAAATTATAATTTGACCCTCTTGGTTATTTATTTATTTATTTCAAGTTCAATTCTTATTATTTTGATTTCTAATATTTAGTCTTTGCCTTTTTATATAAATTTTATTTATTTTTAATTTCATCATTAAATCTCAATTTATCAAATATTAGATTCTTCAATTTCATCCTCATTCTTTGGATTTCTAATTCTTTCATTGGCGCTTTTGTAAAAAATTTATTGGTTTTCAATTTCATCATGCAATTTATATTAATGATATTATGTTTTTTTAATTTGATTCTCATTGTTTTGATTTTTAATTTTTTTCTTGGCTTTTTTATAGTTATTATTTTTTTCAATTTCACCCTTCAATCAAAACATTGTTTTTGTTTTTATGTCAATTTTGATCCTTATTCTTTTGAATTTTTTTTATTCTTTAACTAAATTTGTTTTCATTTTAATTTTACTTTTCAATCAAATATAAAATTTATTTGGTTTCAATTTTGATCCTCATTCTTTTAATTGTTATGTTTTTTTTAATTCTTTTGTATAATGAAATTTTTTTTTTCAATTTTATCATTTTATATTTTAATATTTAATTGGTTGAGAATTGAATTTCATTATTTTTCTAACTTAGGTATTTCATGTTTGATGACCCGGGTCACGAGTTTAAAAAATTAACACAAATTATTTTTTCTTAAGGGCGTTATAATACTCATTTTTTTATCGGGTTATTTCAATCTCATGATTTGAGCCATGAGTTTGGTGAGATATTTTAGGTTAGCTCAACCTTAATTACCATGATTATAAGTTTGTTATGCTAATTCAGGTTAACAAAGATTAAATTTTTATATTTTTTTATTCAATTTGGACATTTAAATATTATTTTTTATAAAAAAATAATAATTCAGCTCCACCATAAAGAGCTGGTAACAATGCTATTCTATTCCTACATGGATACAAATTAAAGGCTAAATCATCTTTATAAAGATCATTACCCAATACGGGTATTTCCCCTAATAAGCTTCTCTAATCGTATGCCTTCCAAAATCAATTGAAGTGATTTTCTTGACGGAGGCTGTATATATATATTCCAATTCAGGAAGACTAGAAAAGGCAGTATCATACAAGCAATTAATTAAAGGCCGACTGATCACCGGATTCCGTTCGGATTTGACAATGTCTCTATTAATTGTGACATATTCAGTTACGTACATAACATCTTAGTTCTTGCCAAACATATTATCCATAGTATTTATAATCTCCAACACCACTACTCATGTTTTCCATTTACTCTACTAAAACTATAAAAAGATGTTACTCACGTGTTGAATTTTTTTATGTTATTATATGCTAAATATCCATAAAATTATTTTTATATGAACGTAATAAATGGCATGATTAAGACCTAATTGGAGATGAATTTAGTTCTTATATGTGAAAATTAGGAGGAGAGGACCCCTTAAATTTATATTTAAGACAAAAAATAAAATAATTATGTATTCATATTTTAATTTTTTTTCTAGGTCCCATTGTAAATAATTTGTCTTCGAGAATTGAATTAGATATTTTTTTTGGTCAAGAAAATGATTTTTTTTTGAAACATAAAAATCTTACAAACAACACAACTTGTCCATAATTACAAAATAAAAAAACAAAATTTTGATTTTTTTAAGAAAACATTCATTAATGGAATGTCTTACAAAAGAAGAAGTCATTGATTGTTATTATAATTTATTTTAAAAAATAATAGATATTATGATTCAAAATGTTTTTTATTAGAAATTATATTAAAATAATATATATATTTAAAATTTATTTTTGATATCAATATATTAAAATAATTTTAAAATATTAAAAAATTATTTTTAAAAGTTTTATCCAAAAACATTTTAACTCCGTTACCAACCACGACATGCATGTAAACAACCTAACAATTTTCATTGCCAAAAGAGCGCAAGAAACACATTCTCCATCCGGCGTTATTGCTTAATTTCCATTTATGTCTCATCATGCTACTTTCCCTAAATTAAACATTCAAATTTTAAATTTTACAGGAAGAAAATCTAGTCATTGATTGATCGCCATTAGTGTCCATCAAAACTTAACGAACCTAAAGCACCCTTTCTCACCGTACAATTTTAATTACCAAAAGAGTCACCATCTTAAATGATAGGAATAATCATTAATCCATTCATCCTTCTGTAGGACCCCTCCCCCTTCACCTTAACCAATGCCACGAAATTCCCATCCTTTGATCCCCCAAATGGCCCACAATCATCGATGGATGGTCTTGATTCATCAACGCTTGCATCACACATAGCAACAAACATGGTTGCCTTTTGGAAATGTTTTTGACAATTACGTTCACATTATCAAAGCCTCAAAAGTCTTGCACATCTTCCATGTATGGTGACAGCTCTGACAAGGGCGATAGCAGTTTACCATAAAAAAATCAAGAAAATAAAAAAGCTTGAGAGAGAGAGAGGGGCTCAAATAAACAAAACCCCATTATCATATATATTGACAAAAATATTTAATGCAAGAAAAAGTAAAAGGTTCTTGTGTTCTGCTGAGAACTGAAGAAGAAAAAGCTAAAGACAGAGACATCGGGCAGGGAGGGACGGGGAGTTTGTGTGTACTTAAAGGGGAAAAAAGAGAGGAAAAACTAGTTATAGATTTCTGTTTTGTTTTGGGTAGGAACACCCTTCCCTATCCTTTCTCTTGGCCCATCACCATCATCGTCCTATTTTGTACAGCTTTTTGGTATTACTATCTTCCATTCTTTATCCGTTTCTCCGATTCTTGTTCTGATCCAGCGCCATTGAACCTCTCTCTTTCTCTTGTTTTGCCATCTGGGTTTTGTCTGAAAGGCTTAAAGAACACATCTTTTAATTGAAGTACTCATAAAAATCTTAGCTTTTTCTCTTTTTTTTTTGTGATCTCTGTGTTGGGTGCTTTTTGTTTGGTACATGATGGCTGTAGACGACCAAAGGGGTGGTAATTCAGTAAATGAAAAAAAGTTTCCTGTTGGAATGCGTATTCTAGCTGTTGATGATGACCCAATTTGCCTCAAAGTTTTGGAGAATTTGCTTCGTAAATGCCAGTATGAGGGTATGTTTCAACCTGTTAATTTTTCTTCTCTTTCGTTCTTCTTGTGTGAATCTTGGAACATGATTTATCAATTTTTTTTGTTGACTCTTTAGTAAACAGTTTGGATTTTTAACAAATTCTACATGTGTTTGTCAAAGTGTGGTATTAACTATTGGTATGTTGTATTGTTAAGTTTTGTTGTTCTGCTTTATTAATTTGCTGTTGTTTGGAGTTTGCGGAATTATATGTTTGAATTGTCTTTGTATGCATGGTTTGAATTTGTAATTCATTACTTCTGTCCATTCGAGTTTCAGTTTTTTGCCTTCTAGAGTGTTTGGACTAATTCTAATAGTTTGTTCATTAACTCCCTCTATTAGAACTAAAATATCATTTATTTTCTGTTTAATTGTGATTGGCAGATTTATAGGACTGTTGCTAGTAATCGGGTTCTCTTACTCAATTATACTCCTGAATTTTGGAGTGCATGTAATTTGAATCTAAATTATAGTGTATGGGACTTTGAGTTTTTATTGTCAAATCTCGTTCAAATTCAGATTTCTTTTCTTACATTTTACGTATGGTGTTTGCAGTTACAACTACCAATCAAGCAGTCACTGCTCTGGAAATGTTGAGAGAAAACAGAAACAAGTATGACTTGGTTATCAGTGACGTTAACATGCCAGACATGGATGGCTTTAAGCTCCTTGAACTCGTGGGGCTCGAAATGGACCTACCTGTCATAAGTAAGCAAATAATATTTTTGTAAGGTGGTAAATGATCTTCACTTTCTTTTTCACAAGTTACCGTGTTAACTTGAACTCTGATAAAGCATGTTAACTTAGATTGGGCTTCGTTGTTGTTTGTGTTTCTTATAATGGCTATGTTGTTGGTCTTAAGAAATTTGTATGTTATAATTACTGTGTAGTCTTCACATAAGGAGTAGCTGAAAATTGGCTTAAATCCTTGTATAATTTGGATTTGAATATAATTCTTTCCCACATGAACTTTGTTGCAGTGTTATCATCTCATGGTGATAAAGAGTTTGTGTACAAGGGCGTTACACATGGTGCTGTTGACTATTTGCTGAAACCTGTTCGAATGGAGGAGCTCAAAAACATATGGCAACATGTAATCAGGAGAAAGAAATGGTATCCCGAGGACCAAAACAGGCCCCCAAATCAAGACAAGGGTGATGACGGAGCTGGAGAAGGGGAACAAGGAGTGACATCAACTGGTAGTGCAGATCAAAATGAAAAACTAAATAGGAAACGTAAGGACCAAGACGAAGAGGATGAAGAAGAGGGTGAAGATGGAAATGATAATGAGGTATCTGGGAATCAGAAGAAGCCTCGAGTTGTCTGGTCTGTTGATTTGCATCAGAAGTTTGTTGCCGCTGTTAATCAAATGGGTCTTGACAGTGAGTTTCCTCAACTCAGAAGCAATATTTTTTGTTTTTCTGTTAACATGCTTACCAATCCTAATACCGTTTGATTTACCCTTTTCTTTTTGTTAAATCTTTTGCAGAGGCTGTTCCAAAGAAAATACTTGACCTGATGAATGTTGATGGGCTTACAAGGGAAAACGTGGCAAGTCACTTGCAGGTAGTGATATTTCCTTTTTGCTTCCCTACCTTCCATGAGAAATGATGCCTATGATTGTGAATTCTGCACCTGTGCTTGGGGTGACGTCATAATGGGATTTATATTGGGTGTGAATTCTGCAATTGTGCACTCAACACTAATGTGGAAAACTTGGCAAATCCTTAACAATAACGAGGCCCATCTTTGTAAATTAGAAATGTCAATTCAACTGTTGTTTCACATGGTAGTTAGAGTGTGACCAGGTTTGGTTTTTTATGCAACAAGTAGTTAGACGTGTTTAATGAAATTCTGAACTTGTGTTAAAATTTTGAAGAGTTTTATTGCTGTAGTCATTTTGAAGCTTCCTGTTTATATTTTCTTACAGAAATTTAGGCTTTACCTGAAAAGACTAAGTGGTGGAGGAAACCAGCAAGGCAACATGGTTTCTGCATTTGGTGCTAAAGACTCATCTTACTTGCGAATGAGTTCAGTTGATGGATTTGGAGATTTTCGCTCTATGCACGGACCAGGAAGGCTTTCAACCGCTTCTCTTTCATCATATCCATCTGGGACTTTTCTTGGTAGATTGAACTCTCCTAGGGGTTTAACCTTACAGGGAATAGCTTCTTCTGGGCTGCTCCAGCCAGGTCTCTTACCAACAAACCAGGGTACAAATTTATTTCAAGGGATTTCATCAGCACTGGAGCCCAAGCAACTACAAATGAAGTCCATTAACCATATTGGAGAGTTTAATCACAAAGGTGATACAGCAGGTTTTACACTTGCAAGTTGCTTCCCGGATGTCAAAGTGACTATTGGTAGCTTGAGCAACACCAGTGCCACAAGCGGCCCTCCGATATTACAAGTGAACCCACAACAAAATCAGAGTAGAGGATCATTGGCGACTCAATCTTCTCTAAGCATGCCTTCATTGAATCAGGAGTCTTTTGATGTTGGTGTCCAGGGCTCTTCAAATTTTCTGGATCATAGATGTGATGATAACTGGCAGGGTGCAGTTCAGTTGTCCACTTTTCCTTCTTTGCCAATTGGTGAACCTTTCCGGCATGATCGATTACCTTCCAGTACCTTGAGAGGCAATATATCTTCCACTACCTCTCACATTGTTAATAGCCCCATCGATTTTTGCTCGACGGGTTCTCTCACAGCACCTTTAGAAGATTCCAGAGTAGACATGCAAGGACAAACAGACTTTATTGGTAATATTTTTCAGAATTCAACAAATTACATTTCAAAGAACAGATGGGAAGAAAATAGCCAAAACTATAATCTTGGTCGTAATGGTTCATTCGGTGCCATGAATTCCCTGGTTTCTGGCAATGGTTCCATTGGTGCATTGAACCAGAGTATGGACCAAAGGAAAAGGTTTGGCGCATCTATGATTGGTCAATCAAACAGTGGGACTCTGTCCATGTTTCAGCATCCTGATGTTGAGAATTTTGCTTTGGACCCAAAAATGAGGTCTAACGAGGATGTTATCTTGGAGCAAGCGAAGTCCCAGAATGGTTTTGTTCAAAATAATTATGAGTCTATGGATGATATAATGAATGCAATGATCAAGCAGGTACGAGAATATTATTTGCTCTATCCATCTCAGTTACACACTTCAGATGCGTTCTTTTCAGCTTTCCCAGTCACCATTTCAAGTTTTCGTGCTCTAAATAAGTTTAGGAAACTTTTTTTAAATGACTCTTTTGCTTCTTTTTGGTAAAAACTATAAAAGCTCAAGACGATGACAACATAGATAACCTTTATTATATAGTTGATAAAATGGGAGCTGGTTCTGGTTGCACCTATTTACTTTCTTGTTTGGATTCTTTGTTGTGATGGAGAGACCATGTTATTCATATCAATTAGCTACTTCCATTTCATAAGTAATAATTATGTGACGGGTAGGCTTTTTCTTAGTCTCCATTTATTTAAAAAAAATAAAAATCATGCTACCTTGCAAACATTTGTAGTGACTGAAAGGCAAATGAAAGAGAGGAGAGAACGCAAGTGTGTATAATCGACAATCGTTATATCCTATTCGATTGATAGAACTCAAAGCCAACTTTTATGCATAATGATATAAGGAATGGTGAATCATTTCTGTAGCCAAACTCCCTATTATTACTTTTCCTGTGAAAGTTTTGAATTAGTAGTTGCTTGTTTCATTTTCTTTGTGCTTGTTTCTTCCGAGCTTTTCTTGAGAGAGTTAAAATTTAAGTTGCATTCTTTGACACTCCATAATGTACTTGATGCAGGATCAAAATGATGGTTCCTTAATGGATGGAGAATTCAGGTTTGGATCTTTCTCACCTGGATCATGCATGTGAGTCTTCGAAAGGAGAAGAGTATCTGAGTTCTCACTCCTCTCATGGAAAAAATTGTATCTTGTAATTGATTACTCCTTTTCTTTTTAGTTTTTTCCCTTCTCGTTTTTCCCAATGTAATCCCATCTTCCTCTTTCTATTCTTATTCTCCGTTATCAGAGTTAATTACCGGTTAACATTTATAGCCTGATCCTTGTTTTTTGATCTCTCTCTTCTCAATTCTTATTGATAAATTATTCGTACATATTAAATTCATCACCCTTTTCTAAAACATTAATTTTTACTAATTGTAAATTTACCTTGGAAGTTAATAAACGTTTTCCAGATTGCTTTTTTTGGGGCCTTGGAGTGTGAATCTGCTATCAGAAGTAGACCTTTTGCTTAAAATGCTTTAAGCTTTTACAGAAAAAGAAAAATAGATACACGGTTGCTTTAAACAGCCTCCATTAGATAGGATTTATTGTCCCTTCTTATGTTTATTTTAAGAGATTCATTATCCTTGGATGTACCCGGAATTATCTGTGCTCGTGTACTGACAGACACGAGCACACAAGCACTATTCTCACATCTGTCGTCTTGTGTGTGGAGCTGGGCTAAGCAGGAGTGTTTTTGTTACTCTGGAAAGATAGCAAGAGAAGTTTGTGTTGGTTGTTTTTTTGTTTTCATCAATCTCTGTTTGAGCAATTTCTGGAAATTTCTGTTTTAGTTTATTGCACTCATAGAAGGTAGAATGATGCCTATTTATATGCAAATGCAAGGAGCACAAAGCTAGAGGAGAGTAACAGTGTCGCTTTCTTGACGTTGTCATAATAAAACTTGCCGGCTTTTATCAAAAGAGTTAGTTCCATGAACCCAAATCCGACAAAGCTTTCGGAAATATCAATGATTGAATTCTGCAGTCTGATGCTATCTAGCGGATAATCATTACAGAACAGCATGGAACTTGACAAATTCACTGTGAAGAAAAGTTATGGAAAGTGATGCGCATATCAAAGGAGAACAGTAGTATAACATTTAATCATGATAATGAATATCTTGCTTTTACAGGCTAAAACGAGAAAAAGAGCCCTAAATTTTAAACAAGGATAATGGGGGTTAGAAACGGTTCCCCCCCCCCCCCCCCCCCTCCTCTCTCCCTCTCACCTTAAATTCTGCCTTGTCTGGCCTTTCAGTTCCAATATGTTAAACTTGCAAGTATTCACTGTCTCTCAACAATCGAAAAACACATTAAAAGATTCACAGGCACATAAACAGATAATATCGATAGAACTCGAGTTAAATTATATTTAAATATTCAACTTAATCAAGCTCAACAAGCTGAGCTCTTCTCTCTGCAGCTTTCTTCCTTACAAATATCCCCCAACGTAGAGCTGCTTTCAGCTTAAGCCATCCAACGACAGCCTTCCCTGATCCCTTTCCACGCTCCTGCGCATATGCTTGATTCATCCGAGGCTCATATGCTTGAATGCTGTAAGAGTAACAAGCCTCATCAGAATGGCCAAAACCAGGTCCCATCCCAACTCCACCCACACCAAATGTTTTTAGCAGTCTCTGCATGTCATCACTCTCCAACATCTCTGAACTCCTTAGCCGTATTTCTTCTGCAAAAAAGTCTTCCGATCCATTCTCATTCCTTGTCCGAGACCAATCTCCTGGAAAGTAAACACCCCCAACAGGAGGAGTTCCAACTGACATATAATCCACGCTGCCAGATAATGCTGCTTGTGGATTATTTACGTTATTTAGGGTCATTACTGCATTCTGATCAGACCTAACAAATGGAAATTCAATCAATTGAGGGACTGATGGGTGGTTATTTACTGCTTGGTGTTGTGGATTTGGTTCAGAAGGATCAAACAGCTGCTTGTTTTGAGCAGATGTTATGTAGTGATTTCTCTCGTAGCTGTTTTCAACAAGGGGCGCAGTGGAGGCTCCTTTGCCTCTGTTATTGCTAGCTAGGGAGTTCAGGACTTTGCCATCATATTCTACAACTTGATGCCAATTCTCATATGCTTGTTTCACCAGGGAATCCACCGAAACCTGTGAGCAAACACAAGCATGAATGAGCAAACTTTACTTGTAGTGACAGCCATCAAGTAACGCAGATCCTTCAATCTCTAAGAGAGATTTTGGACGCATGTCATCCAAGACTCTGACCATGGTGTTGGGGCAGCTAAAGTTGCCACATTTAAGGTGTCAGAATAAGACCATTTCTTATGCCTAGAGTAGTGAATAACAGTCCGTTGTAAAAGATCCTGATGTCTATCAGTCAAACACATCAGTAGGACAATTTGTATTGACTGTACACCACATACAATGAAAATTATCACATCTTGAATGTTTGATTTCAAGATTATTTGCAACAAGTTTTAGTAAACATCTTTCTTTAGATCATCAAGTAATATTGCAACACGTTTTACTGCAATATTTTTGTATGGCACTTTGTATAGACGGATTCAGCTAAATATCAGGGCAAAACTGGTGTAAAATGATGAGCAAATGTTTTAGTAGATTCAGAATGGCCGAGAATATCAAACCTTTTGATTGTGGTTAAGCGATTCCAATGAGAGGAACTGCCCATCTGAAATAAGGCCCCTGAGCTCATATATATTATTGAAAACAACACCAGTGCTATGATTACCATCAGCAAAATAAACATAAAGCTTTCCTCCTAAGACACAAGTCTTTGCATGCTCAACTGTATTCTCCCACATCTTATTTGACATTCCACTTCCAAGGATCTATGTGAACATCAAAGCAGAAAACAGGAAATTGAAGAACAATCAATATGGAAACAAGGGTTATGAACCGAAAAGAATAATAGATTTCTCAAACATATCTAGGGAAAAAGAAAAGGATTCTTACATGTCTTAATTTCTGTGGATCTCTAATGAGAACACGGAGAAAATCTTCAACTGTTGTAATATAAGCCTTTACCAACTTTTTGTGCAATGCTCCATCCTTCGCTATTCTGTCCAATCTCCAAACTTCATCGTGTAAAGCTGGTGGGTAGTGTTTCTTGTATACTGAAATTTATATAAACAATCTTGGTTACCAAGAAATTTGATAAAATGTAAGAGGCTGCAATTCCAACTGAATACAGTTACCCAAACTATAAGATATCCCAAAAATTGGAGGTTTCTTTGTGCGAAGCTGCAGAACTGGCTGTTGCATCTATTTATACCATAAGATTTCTAAGGTTTTTGCATTTCAGTTCCAAGAAAATAACCGAACTATGAAGTCCCTAGTCAAAACATTCTGTACTACTTGTACTTATAACCAGATAGCGAGTTATCTTTCACCCACGCTAAGACTCACAGCTTGGAAGAATGCAGAAGGAACTACTATTCTCCTGCTATTCTGGCAACCTGTCACCATCCAATATGTACCACATTATGCAGTGGAAGGCTACTAGCTTTACCGATAATTGTACTATATTTGCATGATACCATTGTTTCTTAATTAAATAAAAGAGAAACCCAGTAAAATGGTGTTATTTGAGAGGCTTAGTAGGCAGTCATCTATCTAGCCAAGTAAGAGCACCTAGATTCTAATATTGCTGAGCACTCATTTTAATGTTTATGCTCTAATGTTCTACTCTCCAAAACAGATGTGTGCTGCACGGCCTCTAAACTAGCAACCATGAGTTATAACCATTTGAAAACTCTCTCCAAAACAGATGTGTGCTGCATGGTCTCTAAACTAGCAACCATGAGTTATAATCATTTGAAAACTCACATTCTCCTCGGTGATCTTTAACAGCAAATGCCTCTGTCTTAGCCTCACGAACACGAATCCCCTCACAATATCCAGGAGAAACCTTAACACCAAGCCTGAACTTTCTGCTCCTTATCCAGCTAGAATTGTCAGTAAAAGTAATTTCTCCGAGAGTTCCTACCCCTTCCTTGAGAGTGACCTGTAGATCCCCAGTCAGCAGTGGTCTTTTACCTTCACGCTCCTTCACTTCATGGCTTTTAAAATGCTCCATTGCCCAATCTTCATCAGCTTCCTCATTGAAGTCACCTTCAAGAACCACAACATTCAGTTTAGCAGCTGATTCTGGTCCAGTTTGCACAACAGTTCCAGTGCTTGCATCTAACAGGACAACATGGATAGCTTCCCCTTGCTCCCCCTCAACTTTCCCTCCTGTGAACAGGTGAGGAGGCATTCTTGTTCTGAAATGAAGTTGTAGATTGTTTCCTTCTGGGCCTGGAAGTTTTGGTGGTGATGACCTGCCATAGGAAGAATCATAATTCATCGTATCAATACCTATACGTTGCAGTTTTTTTTTTATACAAATGACATCCCAATTTCCACCAGGAGAACATGGAGTATAACTGAAATTTACAATGATTTTTTCTACATTGTTTGCCAGCATCATGAAGATCCAAGGCAGATAGGAAAGGAATTTTTAATTTTTAGAATTCAAAAATATCTATGAACCTACCTTCCAGCCAATTTAGCAGGGCCTAACCTTGTCAAAGCACGTTCCACTTCTTCACTGACCTGATCATTCATTCATAATGCCAAAATCAGCAAAGGAATTGAAGATAACTAGGATCGCATAATATGCAATGCCTTTGATAAATTAAACCAACAGCAGACAAATTAGGGGACAAGTAGACAAGAAAATGCTTGAATGTTGCTGAGGACTTTTTATCAACACTCTGTAAATTGATGTAAAATTTACTGCACAGAAGTCTCTGCAATTATTTCAGTATGTCTACAAGTGAGCCCTACATGGTGACCCGAGTCATGATTCTCATGAGATACAATCAGCTAAAAATATACAACAGCAGCAGTGTCATTGTATCTTCTACAGGTTTAGAATAATATCACAACTCAACCCAAATTTTATTAGAACAAACGAATTAAAGAAAGAATCCATGACTCACAATTCTGCGAAACAAAGGCTCCAAAGATGAGCAAAGTCTTTGCAAACTATCCACCTTCAAAGCTTCCACAATTACACTGCAGATATATTAAGTCATATATCAGATGGAGTGGACTTAAAAAACTGATGCTGAGGCAGAACACTTGCACAAAGAAGATATTGACAAACTGAATTAATACAGCACCAAACATTGACTTGAATATTCAACTAATTCCACACATAAGTTTAAGCTGTTTGAAACTTGAATCCAAAAGCTTAAGTACATATTTGATGTTTCAAAAATTATGATCTTGTTCTTAATCATTGATCCAATTTAGTAAAGTAACTCAGTGGAGACTTTTATTCTGAAATCAGCCCAAAA